TCTTTCTTTCTTTCTTTCTTTCTTTCTTTCTTTCTTTCTTTCTTTCTTTCTTAAAAAGAACTTTATTAAATTTCAACAACGAGTATATAGGAAAATGAAGAGAAGAGAAAGAGAAGATAGAGAAAAGGAAAGAATCAGGAAAGGAGTGACATTTAAAACCTTTCTTCAGAAGCTATTTATAGCATCACCAGAACAAGCTAACAACTGTTGCTATCATGCTGGCTTTGCCTTCTCGCCAAGCCATGATTTATCAACTTACCCTGCTGTTTGCTGCTGTAAAACACAGCTAGCCACAAAACACAGAAGCTAGCAAAGATTCAAGATAAATTTAAATTGTCAGAACTAAGGTTTAATTGGCTAAAAATATTATTTGCCCTTTTATTTATGCATTTGTATTTCAAACAAAATCTCCATCTTCCTGCTTCCTTTATCTCATTGCGTGATACGGGGGCGGGGGGGGGGCATTTTGATGAATGGAGGCCACACATAATATTTTTGGGAAAGTGAATGCACAGTGGGTAAGATGATACTGCAAAGTACACAGGATACTATTGTTCTTATGGGTGAGGGTTTTTTGTTGTTTTTGTTTTTGTGGGTGTTTGTATTTATATATATACACACATACATACATGCATATTCATTCTGAGGTGGGTTCCACAATTTTTATTAGGCAAACCCTCAGAAACACTCTTGTATTGCACAACAAGTATCTTTCTTTGGGCTGAAAATGAAGGGGAAGGAAACAGCATCCAATTATCCAGTGAGAGGGCCCTCCAGCAAAGTTCACCCCCAAACCATTGTTCTTTCCTCACTCTGTTTGCTTTCATGGTGAAGGGAAAAAAAACTTGGTAATAGCATGGAGGACCTCCAAAGCCACACCTCCAATCACACTAAAATAATGAAATGATTCCTTGATTCATGATCCAGATGGCTCCTACCCTGATGGCGTTCCACAAGGCTATTTTCCCAGGCCTTGGGGTGGGCTAGATGGACACACACACACACCCATGTTTCAGATTGGTGTGTTGTCTGGATTGCCATTTCGTTGTTATTTTGTAATTCTTTTGGATTTTTTTTTTTTTGGTATTCGTATTTGCTTGTTTTTTACTTTGTGAGGTGCCCACAGTTGGCTGGAGTCAGGCAGCATCAAAACTGAAGAATAAACAAGTAAATAAATAGATGCCTGCAATAAGCCGCAAAGATGCCAATATGATGACACCTGCTAATGACATCATGCAAATGATGCAATGATGCAGTTGTGTTATGACATCTCAGTAGGGTCATTTGCATGATGATGTCATTTGTCCCTCCTGCCCTCCTAGATGCCCATGAATGTGGAGTCAGTGGCAACCCACTACGTTGCCTTGTGTTTAGGAGGGCAAGAAGCCAAAAGGTGAAACAAGGCCAGCCCCACGTCTCCAGAGGAAGTGCTAAAAATGTGCATTTCCTCTGAAGCAGCAGATGAAAGGCTTCCTCTCAAAGTTTATTGATTCCATTTATATGGCCCTCCAAGAGGTAGTGGGAACTCAGAAGTATAGCATGTCTTCTGTGTGTTGAAGAGACAACTATTTTAGGACCTTCACTACAATTTCTGTTCTTTCTTCTTGTGGTTGGAAGTGGCTCCAGGAATCATTTTGAAAACTGGAATGCATTCCTGGAAGCTCAGATTACCCACATCTGCAGTAGGTTTCGACATATGTGGTAACTACATAAACGGCCAAAACCCTTTTCCAATTTAATTCCTGGTGGCACCACAATCATGCAAGTTTATTGGCAACGGAAGAAGTGGTTTGCTATTGCCTTTGTAATGTTTTACGATTTCCCAGGCTAGTCAATCTCTGAGCACGGAGTAGTCTTGCTAGTATTCAGCTGGCAGATAAATTGTACAAATAAATAGTCTGCAGCCCCAAGAATTCCCATACAAATTCAAGCTATCTTGGCACTGCATAATTTAAGCAAAGTAGGCCAGGCGCTGTCCCTGTGGACGCATAGTGACAATAGGTAGCACCTATTTGGGCCCCCTTATTTGTTGTTACAGGGAACAAGCCCCATTGTAATCAGTGGGGTTAGCCTGATATGCTCCAGATCAGACAGATCGTGCATCCTGATGATACTATAATGAATATTATAATTATATAATTACATATATATATGTAATACAATATAGTACAATATAATAATTATAAATTATATATTACATTGTACTATACTGTACTATACTATACTGAATCACTCTTTCGCATATGAAAGAGGCATTCAAGCTATTTCTCGGGAGAAAAGTTGGGAAAACGCTTTCCAGTTCACTTTAAAATGTAAGAACTCGAGCTCACAAGTACTCCGTACTTGTCAGTACGGAGGGTCACCGTACTCCAGACCCGGGGAATCGTGAGAAAGAACGTAGAGATAGGAAAAGCTATGGGCAAGCTATAAAAACCGGAAGCAGCTTCCACTTCCTTCGTCTTCATTCCTATCTCTATGGGTGGGGACGCAACGCGGAAGTGGCGTCTTCCACTCCCGCCCAGGATTGTCCTCCCTCCTCGGAAAGGTCGCGCAGGCAGGTCCGGTCCGGAGAAGTGACCGGGGCGAGGAAGATGTCGCGGGGTTCGGGGCTGCAGCCCAGGGATGTCCCCGAGGAAGTGATCGGCTACACTCCGGAGGAGAAGCTCCGGCGCCAGCAGCTGCGCGAGCTCCGGCGCCGCTGGCTCACAGACCAGGAGCTGAGCCCCCGGGAACCGGTCCTCCCCCCGCGGAAGGTCGGCTGGGTGGAAGGCTTCTGGGAGCGCTTTCTTCAGCCTGAGAGGCTCTGGAAGAGACAGGTGAAGCGCGAGGCGAAGGCGGGGTGGCTTCCGCCCCGCTAGCCTGGGAGCTGCCTTCCGGGCACTGGGGGCTCTCAGAGGCTGGGTGGTGATGGGCGTTGTAGTCCAGCACCTGGCCCGGGCACCGGCTTCGAGGAGGGTGCTCTGAAGCAAAGCAAGGAGGACACCTCAGTCATTCTGGAGGGATGTAGCTGTGCTGTGGCTTTTTGACCGGTTAAGGTTGCAACCCCCTATACCTTCTTGGGGTGAAAGGTAGAAAGCACCTGTTTGCCTAGGTGCTTTGTGAGTCCTAACAAGCACTACTTAGCAGCCGTGTACATGATTGTGTTGTTTAATACCCACACTCTCACACATCCTCGACGTCTTGCTTAATAATGCTTCTGTGATAATTATTAGTGCCTTTTTATGATAGCAGTATGGAATATAAAGGTCATTTGGCCCCACTGCTCTCCAAGAAAGCTAACACTTTTTAAGTTTGAAAAGTGGGTTAAGGTAACTAATGATATCTAAGTCTGCCCATAATAAAATATGTAAATATGCTTAGCAAATCAAATTTTCTTTGGCTTTGTTTATTTAGCTTTATTGATTAGGTTTAATTGGATACTGCCCAATTCCAGATTGTTTACATCATGAACCACCCAGAATCAAAGTAGAATAAAAATAAATAGAAAATAGAAAAAAATAGAGATTAAAGAATGAATTACAGAGGGAAATCATAGCCATTAACTGCATGTTCTATTGTCTCCAGTGCTGTTCGTGCAAAGAAAAAGATGCTTAACCTGATTATTTGTCTTTAGTAAGACCAAAAAGAACCAAGAATCTTTAATGGATATGTGATGTGTATGTTCGGAGTAACTCCATTGAAACCCAGGAATATTTTCTAATACAATGATTTTCAGTCTTCTGTCTTTGAAAAACCCCGAGAAACTAATTGACAACTGCCATAGAGTTGTTGAAAATGATAGGATGCATTTAAAAGGCACAGCTGTTCCACAAAAGAGGTGAAGTCTGGCTGCTATGTTTCTGTAATTGGGATCTCCTATATTTGGAGAACAAAACAGACTGTTTTCATAAATTTCCTTTCAATGAAGGAACTTTGTTCATATCTGAGAATGCTTAATTTGGAGATAAAAGTAAATTTATATAAAGGTTCTGAGATAACCTCATGCTGCAAGGCACCTTTACTCTCAGCATGGTGGGAAGTGCTTGGAAGCTTTTCCTCCATTTTGTGTGAATTTTCCTGTCTGCATCCAACAAATTGATTTATGATAACTTGTTTGAATTGAATTAGCTTTATAGATTAAAGCTGGCTTGTTGCAACCAGTTATCCATAAAACTATAGTTTGGTGCAGGATAAAATGATAAATAATCAAACATGTAAGCACAAATTTCTCTTACCCTTGAGGCTATTCCTGAAAGTAAAGGAGATTTATTCTTACCACATTGTACCATAGTTTGCTGTGACATACAAAGAACTCAAGATATTAAGCATAATTGTTGAGTTTCAAAACCCCAATAAAGTTGTATTTATATAAATATACCAAGTTGCAGAGAACTAATTTTAAAAATAATTTATTTTTTAGGTATTCAATATCTACAAGGCTGGAAAATTTACATTATTTCAGGTTTTTGTTCCTCTGTGGTTGGCCCATTATATTGTCAAATATCATATCAAGGTATGTATGTTATGTATCTATTTGATGATATAATTAAAATAACATTCTTTCCTATGTTAGGGAGCCAGGCTTAAGAAATGTTAAAGTTTCACTCCCCCCCCCCCCCACA